GTATATACCACTTAAACTACTTTTGTTTCGAATATGCAATACAAAGTTCAATTCAATATAATTGATGATTAAGCTTTGGCAATATTGTTAATTAATTCCATAAATAGGGGGAATAAATACTACTTTTCCTCCACGCCGATAGGGGGAATAAATACTAAGATTGGGAATCAACTTGCAGGTCTTTTTATCTATCTTGGTATTCAAGATGATCCCAAGGATATTTTTTTTTTTAAACTCCCCTGTTTACGTATCATTAGAAAGTGCATTAACATAAAGACGGTAGTAATAAGCGGCAATACAAAAGTGTGTAAACTATAAAAACGCGTCAACGTAAATTGTCCGACACTAGACGATAGTAATATTATTTTAGTTTAAGATTAAAAACAAAAATGTCCTTTCGTATGGTAACTTTTGGATTTCACCTCTACTTACTTTAATTGTATTATTCATTTCCATATGATCAATCCAACCGCATTATTTGAAAAGGTAGTTTGGTCCATATAAATGGTTTGCATTATTTTGGTTGGCCAAAAGAGTGAGGAAAAATACACTAATAACAATTTTTTACAGTTTCAAAAAATGAGTAGCAGTTTGGCTCATACATACATGTAATAAAAAATTTGTTTACATTACTATGTTGATAATGTTGCAAGTTGCTCACTTGTTCTTGCACTAACTAGGAAGTTAGCAAATTTCAAAGTAGTGGTTGCCAAAAAAGTACAACTTTCAGCTAGTTTGATAATAACATTAGAGGTTATAGTTTGTATTTCAAAAGTTTATATATTTAATAGTACCGTTATGCTTTAACATATCCAAAATTAATTTATTCTTTGTATAAACTTCTTTTGTGCGCTGGATATAAGGCGATCTCTCCTAAGACAAGATTAGAATAAATTATGATTTATTCGCCTCATCATTATCATTTCAGGCCAGGGTGTGGGGGCGTCGACCTTTTTGAAAATGAATCTACACTCTTGAAATTTTAACTAAAATAATAACGCTAATAAAAAATGGTGTTTCAATATGAAAGCATGCCTTTCTATTCATGAAAAATTTTGTATTTCATATTATTTCTTTCTCATTTACACATCACTCTTAACTATTTAATTCTACTTTTTTTAATATTCATATAGATTCTGTTGTAGAATCTTTTAATGAGAAAAAGTAAAACGTGTTGACGAACTTTTATTTTTTAAATATTAATAACTCCATTGCAATATATATAGTATCTGTTCAATCATTTTCAATCTATTAAAACATAGAGTATAAAATTACTTTTTTTCATTAGAGTTCTAACATACCGTTGGATCGCAAGATCTTAATTTAGAAATGTTTTTTTATTACTACGGAATAAATATCAAATGAGACTATAGAAGCTAAGTCAACATGTCAAATAAATAAACTTTAAGGAATGACATGTGATGGCATTTAGACAAGAATATATTTTAAAAATGACTTTACATTTGCCTTTTAATTAAATGTGGTATATATGCATATAGATCATATCCAACCAACCAGTCCTCACAACTACTAAATCTTTGTAGCCCCTGCCCAAGCATTGTGATTTGTGAGGTTAAAAATGGAATTCTCAATGTAATTAGTTCTTGATGACGAATAATATTTAACTCGAAGAATATTTTTTTTCAAACAAAAAAACTGAAAGATATGCTTAAAATCTTAACACATTTTGTGAGACATCTTAACTCGGTTATGAAATTTATGTGTACCCTTTTCAATTCATCTTATTATAGTTAATTCGTCTTTTATATGGAGCAACATTTTTTAGCCCAACTATTTATATTCAATTTTGTTATTTCAAATATGTTCCAACATTATACGGCGTATAACTCTATCGATCTATCTCACAAAATTCTTTCTCTTAATTTCATTATGCATTTCATAAAATACTTTTACTCCACTTAAATATCTAAAATGCACTGCATTACGTAGTTTAATGGATGCAAAAGTAATTTTGAAGGCATTTAAACACTTTAGGTGGATAGAGTTGTTTTATAGATGCACAAAAAATTAGAGCGGAAGATAGAGTTTTGTAAAACGGGAGAAGTATTAAATTATCCATATCTTTCATACCAACAAGACATTTAAGTTTACATATTTTTTATGTATCGATCACTTCATGTTTTTCACAAAAATATTAATCTCCTCACGCATGAATTTGTTGCAAATATTATAATGTAGTTGGGAAAATAATTGTTCAAATAAAGGTTGAGAAATAGAGAGAAATAATATGTGGAGAAAATTCATCCGAATGAATTAAAGTGTAGGTACCCTAAAAAACATGTAGATAGGTTTTAAATATAGGACACAATAATATTTTCTATTCATTTTTTTTATTTAGTCATATACTACTGTTACATGTTCATGGCAACATGTGCCTCCGTAGCATAGTGGTAGTGCGTTCGCTTCGTAAGCGAAAGGTCGCGAGTTCGATCCTCGCCGGGGGCTTTATTCTTGAAATTTTCACATTTTTTTTACCACGAATCTTAAGTGCATTGGGCCATTATTTAATTGGGCTTACCGTTGAGGGAAAAATAGAAGTATCAACCCATAACTGGTGGTTACGGCCAAGTTTAATCACGAAGACATATATACTCGTATTAAATATCCTAAGGGTCTGTTTGGTATAAGAAATTGGTGGAATTGTAATTGAATTGGAATTGTAATTTCATGGGATTCAATTCCATAAAATTGAATTCTGTCAATTTCAATTCATCTTTTTCACTATCAATTCCAAATCTACATAATATTTGTGCTACCAAACACTAGAATTGGAATTGAAGTCCCCAATTCTAATTCCATAGTTTGAACTCCATGTACCAAACGGGGCCTAAATGAACATTATTTTTCAATTAACATGGACTAAATTGAGCATAATCTTTCAATTAACGTGAATCATTTCGATAATAGACTAATCTTAGATATTAAGTATCGCTTTACTTTGTAGTGTCTGTTTGAAAACCAAAAATCATCTGTAATTTGAGTGCACTGTCACTAGACAGATTTGGAGAAATATATTTGTGCTTGGATGGGTGTTGAAGCTCAACTGACCACTTTGGACAGAGCCCTCCGCTGGTTACGCACATACAGGAAGTGAAACGCTGCAAAGAAGAAGATGCGGAAGCTTGCCTTTGCGTGCGCCACTTTCATGGTTTGGAAAGTTCGGAAGGAGGTCTCTTTTGATCATGAGTCATTTGATATTATGTACATTTTATGTAAAATCAAAGTTATGGTTTACACTATCCTTGGGCGCCTTTGGCCCTATGCATGTATTGATTTTTAGTTTGGCCTGCGTGCCTCTGTACTCCTTGGTTGGTTTGGCCTGCGTGCCCTATGATCTTGTTTTATCTATTTGACTTTAGGGTGTCTACGGCCTTCCCTTGCTCACAAGTATGCCGTTGTATTTATTCATTGTTTCTTCTTTAATATTATTTACCGATTACCGCAAAAAACAAATTTATAAGAAAGTCGTTATCGAAATGGTAATAACCCGGCGTAGGAATGCTGATTTGGCACTCGTGTGGGCTTGTTTCTCTTCATAATAATTTGTTTTTTCCAAAAAATTTTAAGGCAACTATTTCTATATTTTGAGAATAAAATAAAAATAAAACCTTTTATTTAAATTGACATATTTGTGTCGTTAATGCCGAATAACAATACAACATTAAAAAAACTATCTAAACTAGAAGTAAAATATTGAAAAATTAAAGTACGTAAGTAAGACTCATGAGTCATGTATCTATCTTATAAATATAAGTTTGCAGTATGATAATGTGAGAGCATATATTTGTGTTGTATGCCACAATGTTTTTTAGATTATATGTTGACATTATTGACATTGTAACTATCATTTTATGAATAAAAATATAAGACTCTTATTTTAATTTGGTACTCATTATGTATTTTACTTCTACTTTAGTATTTTTCTTATAATATTAATTCAAATTAAATTCAACACTCATTAAAAAACATTAAAAACTGATTGATTGCAACCAAGTGTATTTTTTTATTTTTTATTTTTTTTGAAAATTTAGTTTTATAAAAAAGATAAAATACTCTCCAAAGATAGCCAAATCCAAACATGTACTAAAATAGGAAATCAAAGTTAAAAAAAAAACTCCTATCAACAGGATTGATTTTTGGTATTTAGCGTTTGGATTGTATCAATATGAATTTTTTAATTTTGGATTTCCTATTCTATTCACACATTTCGGTTTGGGGTCCGAAACATCACCTCTTTATTATACTCATTTCGTATTAAATTAAGTTGTTTGTTTACTATTTACATGATCTAACTTTATTTACTTTTTTTCTCTATTTTTGTAACTCATTGATAAAATAATATAAAATTTCAAAGAGCTTTTTAATATAATTTTTTAAATTTTTTAAAATTTGGTCTAATTCTCACGTAAATTGAATTGATTTCAAGTAAATATTGTAAAATGAAATAGACAAAATTAAATTGGGACGGAGAGATTTTTTTAAATAAAACTATATTTTACAAAAATAATAAAAAAAGACACTTGTTTGCGATAGATTTGTTGTAATTTTTTAAATATTTTTATAGCATGTTCGTTTTAATTTTAATTAATGTTATATTGTTATTTGACATTAAATACACAAAAATGTCATCTAAAATAAAAGGTTTTATTTTTAATTTATTCAAGGAATTTAAAAATTTCCGCCTTAAAATTTTTAAGGAAAAAGAAATTATAAGGAAGAGAAAAGTTAGTTGTGTGCCACCTAATAAGAGAAAAGGTGGCATGAATCCCAATCAACATTCCTTTTCCAATTATCACCATTCATTAAGTTATGGTGTTTTACAAATGAGAATAAGAAGTTGGTGTGGTGTAGTGGTTATCACGTCAGTCTTACACACTGAAGGTCCCCAGTTCGATCCTGGGCATCAACATTTTTTCTGTCAATTTTTTTTTGGGCTTAACTTCTGCCTGAGTTCTGCGCTACTGAGATTTTGTCTTTCTCAGCATCTCTTCACATTTACCATTTCATGGCTGCTCTGGTTCCAAGATCAACAACCAGGGCGGCGTCAATCATAAAGACCCATTTTTTACACCCAACCCCAAGATTTGTCCCCGGCAGCGCGCCATCTCACCCCTTCTCCACCGTCCGCCGCCAGCATCCCCGCCGGACTCCTCCAGCCGCCAAGAAAGTTCCTTTCACAGTTTCTGCTCACGGGAAGTCTCGGGTCGACCCGTATCACTGGATGCGCAGAACGGACGACCCGGATTTCCTGGGCTATCTCCAGCAGGAGAACGCATATGCGGAGGCTTTCATGGAGGACACTCAAGAGTTGCAGAAGTGTCTTTACACTGAGATGGTTTCTAGAATTCCCTCCAGAATTTCCACGCCTCCTGAACGATGGGGTCCCTGGTTTGTTCTTCACCTTCATCATCATCATCATCATCTATATGAATAGAATGTATCAGAACATTTTAAGCTCAAAAGAGCATTTTTATGTTTCGAGGTTGGTATGCCCGAATATGTTAATCCTTTTTTAAAGAGTTAGTGGGTTCATTTAGTTTAATCATTGGGTTGTAATGATGAATTTATGGCATTTGAGTGTGATTTTAATTAGTTTATTTTTTTAAAATTATTGATCTTTAATCTTTATCGATATAAATAGGCTATACTATCAGTACATTCCGGAGGGGAAGGAGTTTCCAGTGTTGTGTAGGGAGTTTGCTGATGAGAGTAAAGGCTGGATGAGTACAATAACCAATCAAATAAGATGTGCATTCAAGAAAGAGAATGTAATGCTTGACTGGAATGAATTAGCCGAAACCTATGGTATATCGATTCTATACTCTTTTTAGATTTCTCAACCGCCGTTTTTCTTAACTCTATATGTACACCTTGCAGGATATGTTCATGTAGGTACGTGTCGCGTCTCGCCAGACCACAATTTCATAGCATACACAGTTGATCGTGATGGTGGTGAGGAGTTCATGCTTCAAGTTAAAGATCTTAAGCGCGGCTGCATTCTTCCAAATATGAATGTCAATGGAGTTGTTAGTTTGGAATGGGCTGCAAATGGTCATTCTTTGTTATATACATTGATTGACCAACAACAACGGCCTTACAGGCAAAGTTCTTTTCTATCTTTGTCTCGTAGGCTATGTTTGGTGAATGGCTGATCAGCCATATTTTGGCTGGGTTCAAGTAATGACAGCTAAATACATTTGTTTTCGGGAAAATGGATTTTTTAATAAGCTTGTTTAGCTCAAAATCTTGAAAGTTGGCTTGAAAGAATCATTTTTACATAAGTAACAATGAGCAACTAAATATCCAGGCATCTTTCAGAGGCCAGTGCTTGTACTCGCTTTGTTAGAACAACTAACTATCAACTAACAGTCAATTACCAAACTAAGCATATATCTTGTTATGTTATGAACTATCAGCATTATTGTAATTTTCCAGGCTACAGTGTGTGCAACTTGGATCAGGTGGGATAGATCATGTGGAACTGTTCACAGAACATGATCCCAATTTCTGTGTAGATATTGCAAGTACAAAAGATGGGAAGTTTATAACTGTAAACTCTAATTCAAGGACTTCATCTGAGGTAAGAAATTTTTTCCCCATTATCATCTTTGAGTCAACTCTCTACTCCTCGTGGTAGTAGAGTTCTAGAGTCAAGAAAATTTAGGCTTTGTTTGGTTAAGTTTCGTTATGTCGATGCAGAATAATTTGTTTGTCTTGATGCAGGTATATATCATAAATGCAACCAATCCATGCGGTGGACTTAAAAAGTTCTGTAATCGCGTCTCTGGTGTACAATACTTCTTGGAGCATCATCGTGGAGTTTTTTATGTCCTTACAAATGCTCCAATAAATAACGGTATGGACTTGCCAGAAAGTGCAAATTATCACTTGGCTAGATGCCGGGTAGAAAATTTGCAGTCTACCTATTTGAAAGTAATTTTCTGTTCCTTAAGTTCAATGCATGGTGTTTATATTGTATAGAACTCCGTAATATTATCCTTTTTTTCACTAGACACTGTTTCTTCTGTTGTAGAACATCATTGTACCAAGTGGAGATATTTTCTTGAAAGATATGGACATGTTTAATGAACACCTCGTGCTGTATGTCAACAAGGCGGGTTCATCATCAATATGTTCCCTTCCCATGCAGACTATTGTCAATTGTGAGGTACATCCCTAGCTATTGTAGGTTAATGCTATTTGGTAGTGAAAGAAAAAAATGCCAAGGAAATTAATTTTTTTAATGGCTGGTTTTACATTGGAAAATATATAGGAAGCTCATCAAATTTAATTCAAGTTCTTAAAATTTTACATTTTTTGTCCACATTTTGTTTTTTTCCTTACAACAACAACCTAGTATTATCACAACTCTGTTGGGTTATGGGGGTCAAGATGTACGTAGTCTTGCCCCAAAAGCCCAAAGACTTCCATTCCTTAAAAATACTTCACATTTCATAAAGATCCCATTTTTGCATTTCTGAGCAGACCTTACTTTTTGTGGTATTTTACTGGGTCTGTTGCTGTTATTGTAACTTCTTAGGAAGTAAGAAGCAAGAGGAGTTTAATGTGCCATTGTGATTTAGTCCATTATGTGCCCGAAACTAAAACATTGTCAAACTCTTTTACCTCTATTGGCGATGGACAATATCTATTAATTCTTATGAAGTATTTACTTCCTTTCAATGCCACTAAGTGGCTCATATTAGTGCCTTGCAGAAACAAAAGGAGATTGAGGATCTGAGTCCATGGTTCTTTCCGCTTCCCTCAGACATGTGCTCACTAGCTCCCGGTTCAAACCATGATTTTATGAGCTCAGTATACCGTGTTGTCATTTCTTCCCCAGTGGTACTTTTGTCGACAACTTTGCAATAATGTTCGTGTCTGATATTTTTGATGCCATTTTGTCCTTTGAATATTTTTCTTTCAGTTGTACATATGGTAGGATTCATATACAAGAGTAAGAAATGAGAATACATCACCTAAAAATGAATAAGGACACAAATCAAATGCTCCCGTATGTACCCTATTATCTCTAGGATATTTTAGACAATTTATCCCGATTTTTATTGAATATGAGAACTGGGCAACTAATCTTGGACTAGCGAAAACAAGAAAGTAGACAACTAAATCCAGTCAAAGGGAGTAACTTCCCTTCTTTTTTTTTTGAGTTGCAGATGCCCGACATTATTGTGGACTATGATATGTCAAAGAAATCAACCAACATTGTGATGCAAGAAGAATTGGCAAACATCTCAAGTAGGCATAAGTACGAGCATCAAGAAACTGAAGGACAAGTGTGGGAAGATTTTACAAAAGTGTATGCTTGTGAGAATAAAGAAGTTGTCTCCTATGATGGGGTGAGGATTCCTTTGACTATACTATACTCTAGGAAAGCGCATCAAAAGGGTCAATCTCCGGGTCTTCTGCATGGGTATGGAGCTTATGGAGAAGCTCTGGATAAAAGCTGGTGTGGCAACCGTCTCTCCCTACTCGATCGTGGTTGGGTTATTGCATTTGCTGATGTTAGGTAAATATGTTACCCC